GGGGCCATTGTACCGATCCCGGGTGCGGCGCCGATCGGTTCAGCGCGCGGTAGCGTAGAGTCCGGAGCGGTTGAGTCGCGCTGCTCGCGTGCGTCGACTTCTGCTCCGGCGAAGGTCGTGGCCAGACGATTGGCCACGGCGGAGCTGATCGCTCCTTTTAGAGCCGTGTCGGACGGGGATTTTTCATCCACAGTGGTGAGCGCGGTCACCACCTCGCATTGGACTTGAGCGGGTAGAAGTTCGTCCAAAAGCGGTGGTATCGCGCTGCGTACGTGCACGTCCACGAGCGCGAGCACCGTTCGGTCGAGGCATACGCGCGCTACCTGGGGGAGTTCCGTAGCGAGGAACTCCTCGACCCAGACCTGGATGCGCGGCTGAATCGCGTCGACCATCCCTTGGACGCGATTCTCAGTGCCTGCCGACACGGCTGGCGTAACATCCGATGCGGACGCTCGCGTGCGGCCCGGTCGCAGTGGCGGTCGCAGCAGGGCTTCCGGGTTCTCCACCCGGGGGCGCGGTGCGCCACTGCCACTGCGGATGCTCAGACGCCCGGAGGCGGAGTCTCCCCCTTCTTCCGGTCGGTTCATCGTCGAATACGCTTCGTGATCGACGCGGTGATTTCTCAACCTTTTCCGTCTGTACGGTTCTGCACGGGATCGAGCGACTACACGTGCGGCTCAACCTCAAGAGTTATCCCCTCCACAAGAGTACCAAAATGTGGGATAACTCCTCTCCGCCCTGGGTTGGGTGAGAGGCAGAGGCTATAGCGAGGGAGCTCGCGGCGTGGACGCGACGCGCTAATTGAACCGATCGGACGAGCTCGCGAAAAGGGAGTGGCTCACTGGCCGGTTACGTGCAGTCGCCCCGTGGTGCGTGAACGGGAGCGACCGGTAACGGGTTAGAAGCCAGCGCGCGCGATAGACAACCGAAACGGACGTATATAGGCGCGAAAGGGACGGGGGCGAGCTTGCCCCCGTTTACTGGTGGGGACGGGTGCCAGGTCTTAGCCCTGCAGAGGGACGCCTCGGACACCTGTCCCAGTACAGTAGTACAGTACCTGCCGCCTAGTGCGTGCCGGGTACTGTACACAATTAAAAAACTAGCGCCATAATTGCTACTACCGCACGGACGCTGCTACTACACGTGTGCACTACTGTACACGCGTGTTGCTTACAGACTACCGCACGGACGACACGTGTGGTAACGCGCACACGTAACACGCGTAGACTACAGCTCGGACGACACGTGCACTACTGTACACGTACGCCAGATTACGACCGCTCGGCATGCGCGCGCGCTCGCTACACGTGGGCACAGCCGCCCACGTGTATACTGTATACGGCAGTCCCATGACCTCCGCTCGCTCGCGCCGGTCATTATACTACACCCTGCATGACTTGTCCAATTTCCTTTTCCAGCTCCTGACGATCACACCGTATCATAGATTCAACATTCATATCGGCATCTTCTTTTAAAACTTTAGTGTGGCGCCAGCAGTTCCGAATCACATCATTAGCCATTTCTCCCCAAGCTTGTGTAATCCAACGGATATCTTGTAAAACGTTTACCTGTAAATTCTCTTCTCTCTAATATCCATAAAGTCCAGATCCCCGCCCATTTGCAATCTACGATAGCGACAAGCAAGTAATTCTTGCTTTTCTTTTTTCAAGCCGCCGATTTGTGTCGCTGCATTAGTCTTATTCGGAGCTAGACGATAATGCAAACCAAACGCGTCTGCGTTTAAATTTCATCCACATTGTACCCTCCCAGCTCAATTCTTATTATAGGAAGTGCATTTTTTGCGTAGGGGAAAGCGGCAGACGCCTGCTCGCCGTGATATGAAATTCAGCGAAAGCCGTGTATCTTCTTGAATTGTTTTAACCAACCATTATAAAACGGTAAAACGGGACCAACGCTTTCTCCTTGTGTCAGAAGCCAAATACTTTCTGCCTTCTGCTTGATTATGTTTTCCTAAAGAGCAATGTTTTTGCAGGCGCAGTCGTTGATCCATATGCATAATCTTTCATCGAATCGTGAAGGAACAGGACTCCTTATGGACTTGGAATAGGTTGACAGAGTGGCCTCGAGTCTTTTGCGCATTTTGATTATGCATGACAAGGTAGATTGGGCAAGAGGTTTCTGCAGCGAAAAGAAACGGCCAGCCCATTCTCCCAGAAAGCGTTGAACGCATCCATCACCGTTGCCACGCCGATTGTCGAACTCAGCGATCTGTCTTTGTTGCTGTGCGATAGTTAAGCGAGTGCGTCCTGGCATAGCGGGGTTGTACAGTAGTTGGAGAGCAGCGAAATCGTAAGGCCGATGGGATGGGCTAGGACGTTGAGGCAAACCTGTTGTGGGAAACGTTTCTAAGGTTAGGCGTATACAGTCCGGCGTTGAGCGAAAAAATTGGTTGGCCACTCAGAACGAGTACCCTAAATCTGAATGTCGTTACCTTAATTTTTTATAAATATTCAGGGTGTTTTTCGAAAAAACACCACTATATCCTTATTCATATAACCTGCTTATAGCGTCTCAAATCCTGCATTTTCTTGCCGGAAAGACGAGTTGCATCAAAGAGGAAGTATACTTGCTCTCTTTGTCGTTCTGAGACGCATAGTGTTACTGATTGTGTAATGAGACAGCTTTTTGGGGATTAAAACAATAGGTAAACGTGCTTTCGTGGTATGGAAAATACTGTATGCAATTGTATGTAGATAGAGTGGGTAGAAGTTGCCGGTGTTCCACATATTTAATCACCCTATATTTTCAACTGAAATCACATCTATCTCAGAGAACGATCCAATGTCGCCCTATAGACACAGATAAAGATCGGCAAGTTTCAACATGTCGTTTTCTTAGGGCGACATCACCCGCGGAATTGGATGAATGAGGAACGTCACCCTTCAATGCCACCTCAATTGGGGTAGTCGCCCCCAAAACACCCCCAGGGCTAGAAAGTAACCCCCCCAGGGGCATCAAAAGCCGCACCTGTCACCCCAAGATTCACAAATGGCCCAAAATAAAATGGGTTAAAGTGAATTCACAGATTTGTATGTTATGATATCGCTTGCTCGGATGAAGTGTCATTCGAGCAAGCGATATCATAACCAATAAAAAGGCACACCCGACATCTCATTTTCGCACAAAACGCAACCTTTATCTCAGTTCCACACACATCGCACCTTTTAGGCGAGCTACTGAGCTCTCAGTCGTGGCTGAATGAAGACTAGCGCGGAGTTTGACACAGCCTAAGCTTCATTTTATGCTAATGTATGGGGGGACTGGCGCGGACAGTTCTAGGGAAGGTGCTGTATGGAAGGGTGGCCGGATTTTGGTGATGCACATTGTAATGTGCAGCATCATTGAGTTTTTGGAGATCCATGCAACTTGACGGAAGATGAAAGCTTGTGAGATGGTATGGAAAACGACTTCCACGAGAATATCGTGATCCTTGTGGTTCAACCACATTTTTGGGCGCACATAGCGGAAGTTGCAGATTTGGGGACGGCAATCATTCGTTGGAAAATACGGCTACCTACTTCGATTCTATTATTCTGAGATACAGTTCAAGAAAAGGACTGTTCCTGCTTCATGTGACGGCGTTGCTTGCATGTTTCGTTATGTCGATGTTGAGACTGAAGTGGGGTCGGTACGGACGGCCATGCGGCTGTTGCAACGACTGAAGATCCGAACTCTCTATTGTCCTTTATCCAGTTCATCTAATGTGTTTTCCCAGTTGTTTTTATGGTTCACAAGTTTACGATGTGCAGCAACTTTTTTTATTATTTTGTCATGACTATGAATTTAATAGACAATTATCTCGCATCTGTAGTTTAGAAGAGCAGAATTAATGTTCTTTCTTCTGGAGCCCAAGATACATAGTTTCTGTGGTACAGAGCGATGTTCCCTGATAACATAGGCGCCTTTTTATAGGGATGTATACTGACAACCTGTCGATAAATGCTTTTATTCCCATGTGGCCTACTATCTGCTTCGACGGAGGCCGAACGGAATTTATGGCATGCTTCTCGCACCAACAATACACCTGCAACAAATGAACGCTGAAACCGGGGCACAGAAGTAGCCAGCGGTTTTGAACCGATTCTTGTCGCCTGAAGGCAAACCGTTTTTTTCCTTGTCATTGATAAGGATAACTTTTTTCAAAAAAAAGTAGCCGCAAAGTTGCACAACGTTTATATGAGAGTAGTAGGCCGTGGCACCTGCCCAGGGTGAAGGTCATGGGTCGCCAATAAAATAAATTGGGGGTCCAACAACAAATGAAGCTATTTGCCCTAATCATTACCACCACAGGAAACAGAGAGGTGTCCGCCGAACGACTGAAAATGAAAGCAGAGCATGGTATGCAAGTACAATGTTAAAGAGTCGCCGGAAAAGGCAAAAAAACGAGCCCGGCGGGACTTGAACCCGCAATCTATAGGTTAGAAGCCTATCGCCTTATCCATTAGGCCACGGGCCCTGTTCGGGATGCTACGATGTCAAGGAAAAAGCAATATTTAATTAACATTATGTTGAATGAGACGTCAAATAAAGTTCACGAAATTTACAGTGTAATGCATCATCAGTACAAGGCATAAAGGCTTAAGCGAGTTTTAGTGGGCACGTGTCTCTGGGCGGTGGAAAAAAAATCGCGTCGTATCTACTAGTGCAGAAGGAGGAGCGCTCTGTTTTCGTCTCTTGTTCGCACGGCTTCTGTCATCATCGACCAGACCAGGTGGACGGTTGTCTGACAACGCTGGAGCCACGCCTTCGTAGAGTGTTACCGCCGCCATCGTCCCTTGTGTGCCCTCGTGACGCCCCATTTCGCTGGCGCAAAGAACGACACCAGTCGTGGCGTGCCGTTTTAGCCAAACTAATAAAAGGGAAAAAATCAACCAAAAGGGGTCCATGGTGGCGCCGAGCATATAGGCTGTATCTGTGTGGGCGTGTCTGCTGCGATGGCAGTGCATGTTCATTGGCCAGATGGCACCCCCCCAGAAAGAATGCGGCCGCGGAGGCGGCTGTGGATGGTAGAGGAGATTCCCTAAAAAAATCTGAGGTAAGCCGCCGCTGCTCACCACCCACTCTCCTAAGACCCACGTTCGACACCTCCACCCGAGCGCTCCGTGCCAAAATGTTCTTCTAGAGATCTGGCTGCAGGGGATAACGAGCCAATTTTCAGTGAGACTGGGGTAAGGCCACGAGACACATTTTCACTCGCAGCGCCGTTGCTTCAGGTAGACCGTAACTCGTGCTGGCTTTCTCGTGCCGCGGCAAAGATGCAGGCCTTCGTGGCACTTCCTAGTACAAGCAGGGGTTTACGAGCGGGACCTGCACCTGGCTTGCTCACCTCATGCTCCCGCCGGAATCCGGGCCGCCGGCGTGTCTTCGTTTCATTACGTGCTTCCGACTATGATCACGACTACAGCGCCCCGACAAGCACGGCACCTCTTTCTACGCAGCCGGGGCGCACGGCGGCATCCGTCAATCATCGGCAGAGGCGAAGCGGACCGGCAGTTCCGCTTTTGTACGACCGAAGAAGACGCCCCAATGCGCTCATTTCTGAAACGTCGCGGTACCTGGTCGACTCCGCGTATGATGCTGTTCGCTGGTATCCATGGGGACAGCAAGCCTTTGATGCCGCCCGCGCTGCACACAAGCCCATTTTGCTGTCGTCGGGGTTTCTCTCATGTCATATGTGTGACGTTATGTCTGAACACTTTCGGGATCCCGCACTGGCAGCTTTACTCAACAAACGTTTCATTTGCATAAAAGTTGACCGAGAGGAACGCCCAGATGTCGACTCTGTGTATAATTCATTCGTCCAGGCGGTGACGGGCCGGACTGGCTGGCCACTAACATGTTTTCTGACTCCGGAATTGGTCCCCTTTGTTGGGGCGACATATCTTCCGAAGGACAGATTAAGTAGCGCCGTTGAGTCAATTGCTGATCGATGGGAGAATAATCGTGCGAAGGTCGAGGCAGATGGCGTCAAGGTGCTCGGCGCATTGCGTGACCTCTTTGAGCAGGGTAGTCATGACCCTTCGGTAAAGATAGGACCTGAGATGTTGAGAAAGGCATTCCACACCGCGGATACATGCTTTGATGTTGCGCATGGCGGTTTTGGTTCCGCTCCGAAATTCCCTCGTCCCTCTGTGTTCGACTTTTTGTTTAGTATGCATCTATCCGGAGGGCTTGATGAGAGGTTGCGCGCAGAATCTCTTGACATGGTTTTGGATAGCTTGCGTGAAATGGCAGCGGGAGGAATCCACGACCACATCGGCGGCGGTTTCTTTCGGTACGCACTGGATGCGGCATGGCAGGTCCCCCATTTTGAGAAGATCTTGAGCGACCAGGCACAGTTGGCATCGTGTTACCTCAATGCATATCTCATTACCAAGGACAGTGCATTTCGACATGTAACATGCAAGACATTAGATTTTGTGATGGCGGAGATGCGAGACCCAAGCAACGGTTCATTTTACAGCGCTATTCACGCGGATTCCGAGTCACAGTTCGACGTGAATAATGCGGCAGCAGAAGGAGCCTACTACACTTTTAGCTCTTTCGAACTAATGCTAATGCTGGGTGAGCCGGCATCCACTATCTTCAACATGCGCTATGGCATCGAGCCGGCGGGAAACGTGTCCGATTCTGCTGTGGCTAAGGCAGAGCTCGGTAGTTTAGAGGGTCTCAATGTGTTGAGAATCTCAGCATCTGTTCCCGAAATATCTTCGAGCCTTGGGTTGCCTGAGAAGGAGGTGCGCCACATTCTTCAAACGGCGACGAGAAAAGTATTTGAAGAACGCTCAAGGCGCCCCCGCCCACCAACGGATGACCTTGCCATTACGTGTTGGAATGCGCTTGCAATCACTGCGCTTGCTAGAGCAGGGGCGGCTCTGGATAGGCAGGATTATGTGGATGCCGCCATCACGGCTGCTAATGTTATTATGACTCGCATGGTTGTGCGACAGGACAGAAAGACTGATTCTATTTATCTTGCACGCGCCTTTCGTGGAAATCGAGGACGTGTTGGGGCGTTTGCGGAAGATTACGCCTACGCCGTTCAAGCCTTCATCGACATATACGAGGTGACGGGAGAAACCAAGTATCTCGTTTTTGCGAGGCAGTTGCAAAATGCACTTGATCTCGAATTTTGGGAGGACGGAGGATACACTACCGCAAAGAAGACTGACAAATACATCTTGCTGAGACGCAAAGAGGACTATGATGGCGCAGAGCCATCGTCATCCAGCGTTGCTGCTCTCAATTTAGTACGCCTGTCATCTCTCTTGGGCGACGAAGCGCTTCTCGATCGTGCGAACGATATTGCAAGCTCTTTTTCTAGAGTGCTGGATTCATCGCCACTCGCGATGCCTATGTTACTAGTGACTGTTCAAGCGCTTGCGGCGGAATCCAAAAGAGTGGTCGTAGTTGGGGACAATGACCAGGCATCCAATATGTTGTCTGCCTACTGGTCTCGAGGACTTCCTCGTTCCGTTGCCCTCCTAAGAGTACCGCTGGAAGGCATTCAAGATAGTATGGCCAAGTATTTGAGTCAAGGCCGGCAGAGAATAGCAAGTGCAACAGGGCGAGTATGCGCGTTTGTATGTACAGGACAAGTATGCCTCGAACCGACCGGTAATGTACAGCGATTTTGCGAAGAGTTAGACTATCTCCGAGCGGTACCGCTTCGACAAGAGATCAACTAGATGTACAAAATGTGAACCTACTGCGTTTCCGCACTTCAATCAAAGAACGAATTTTTCTTCTCGACTCCCGCGATGGTCCAGATCATCAAAGAGCGGACAGTCTCAATTCTTTTTCTTAAGTTGCAGTTAGTGTCCCCAGACCAATTTGAAATTTGAGACACTCCAGCGCATAGTTTCGCAGGTTTGAAGCCACGGCTCCGCATATTTAAATCTTCCCCCAGTTACCAAACAAGTTGTGCACAACAAATTTTCAACGAGTTGATTTCGTCTCGATTTGTCTCATGCTTCGATGAAGTCGAGCAACGGTCATGTTTCTCATTCTCTCTTGCTACTCCGAGCCATTTGGCGATTGCAAGCTGTCCGACGTGACACAGTACTTCTTATTTCCTTTTGCTATAAACTTTTCCTCGTCACAACATTCAGTTGTCTCACAATTGATTTGAATGGTCGCATGGGAGATTCCAAACCGAGAATCGAGAACATTTTCTGCAGATTTCAAAATGTCATGTCCTGTAACTTCTGCTGTCTTGTAAAGATGAACAGAAAGCGCAGGGTTCCTTGGCGAGATGGACCAGACGTGCAAGTCTCCGACTCTGTTCACTCCCTTGAGCTTACGCAAGCTATCGTAAATGTCTGCTAATTGTGTCTCTGGCGGTGTTCCTTCCATGAGGACATGCAGTGTCTCCTTTGCAAGCCTCGCAGTTGTCATGACGACAATCACAGCGAACAACAGAGTGCAGAATGGGTCAATAAATGACCAATGTGGTTTCACTGTTATGACCACTGCTGCGATGATGACACCAACATTTTGGAGGGCGTCACCAAGTACATGCAAGTAAGCTGCGCGAATGTTGACAGAGCGGGAATCGCTGCCGACAATAGTGGTCTTGAGATTCTTCCACATCTTGCCTATCTTCGATGAAGAGTCGGAATGAACATCTTCCCGACTGTTTTCGTCGTCGTGTGCATGATCGTGGTCGTGGTTATGGCCATGATCATGGCCATGGCCGTGACCGTGGTCATTCGATTGCCCATGACTTTCGACATCGTGAGTATGACCGTGCCCATGGCCATGTCCATGGTCGTGCCCGCCATGACCGAGGACTAAACCAAGAGCAAGGTTGACAACAAGTCCAATGACGCCGAGCAAGAGCATTAAAGGGCCATTAACTGGCTCAGGGTTTAAGAGACGCTCAATTGCGAATATGACAAGAACGACTGTGAGAGCCCATATGAACAAGACACTGACAAAAGCACCAAGAACTTCTGCGCGAGCAAAACCAAACGAAAGGTGCTCATTCGCGGGGAGGCGAGACACAGAGACAGCAAATAAGGAGATAACGAAGCCAGCGAGATCCGAAAGTAGATGTGCTGCGTCAGACATGATGGCAAGCGAGCCCGCGAACCATCCTCCGATGAGTTCGATAAAGAAGAACAAGGTAGTTAGGATGCATGCGCAGAGCAGTGTTCGAGTCTCTGAGGAGGCCTCTGGCTGGGCATCTTGGGTGGAAGGAGTGTGCTGAAATGACGGCGTCTTGGCAAGTAAAGGGGCAGTTTCAGACATGGATGAAATGAAGTTGAGACGAGAGTGGGGGGTGGGACGCAAATCAGTACGAAATGCTGCGGAAACTGCTAAGGGCAGGTTTGTGCAAAGTCTTGAAACTTCCAAGCAAAACTGAACACTGTCGATGTATTAAAAGGCTCCTTCTAGAGATTGCGTGGACGATGTGCTGGTGATAAGGAGAACAAAATGTTCTAGCTCGGCGCCGCAAGGGCACAGTGCCTTAACGGTACTGCAAGGTGCCGTATGTGCGTATGCAAAGACGTGGCACGCGAAATCGTCCAGTAACGGTTTTGTAGGAATTATGAATCGTACGTGAACGCTGTCAAATTCATCCAATTTATTACGTGTCTGGATGGAATAAGATACTGTAAGGGTACCCTTCCATTTGTGTCGGGAGGTACAGTAGCAGGTACAGTAGCTAGTGTTTATCCGACAAAGTGTTATCATAACATAGAGATCTACGAATTTTATTTCATTTCAACTTTGATGTCCGCGGTTTCTATTTTTCTTTGGTAGATTGAGGGCCATTCCATTCATCGTGATTGGCAATCACGCAATCACGCAACCACGTCAATAAAAGGTGCCTGCTCCCTTGTGGTTGGTTGTTTATATTACGTTTCCTAAAAATGGTCATGCTCATTAAAGAAATAAACAATCGACTTAAAATTAATCTTGTGCTCCAACTTTCTGTAATGCTCCTTGGAATTCTAAAAGATTTGAACCCCATTCAAATAAGCAAGAAGTGCACATGCACATGCAAAGCCGTGAAAATGTGCTTACAGCTACAAGTAGCACACGTTGGAGAAAGGAACGATGCAGAACGACGTTAAATTAATGTCGTGATCGCGTGATTGCGTGATTGCATGATTGCCAATCACGATGAATGGAATGGCCCTCAGGGCCATTCCATTACTCTTTTTTTAAAATTTTCTGAAGTTGAAACCGAATAGAAAGCACTCAACATGTCAAGGCCATGTTTCTATGCTACTGGTATAAATTAGCTTAAAGAAACCGTTTTCTTTTGAACACCTGTATGTGTATCAATGAGTTGGTTTTCGCTAGAATCGACAACCACGTGCTTTACCTGTAGTGAAGGCCTTCTGGTTTAAAAAAACACAGAAGTGAAATTGCGTGTTGCGTTGTCTAGAAAAAAACAAAAAATTTCCTCATATGAGGACTAACGGTCCGATGGACATTAGACGACAGGGGATTTACCTCATATGAGGCCAGCTTTTTATTGCAAAAACATATACATTAAATCGAATCTTTATAAAGTCAGTTTGGACGCCATGTTGCTTTGACATCAATACACAGAAAGACAAAGAATCTAATGAAGTTCCAACACCCAGTTGGCATTGTAAACAGGCGTTTTGGTTTCGAAGATATCAACACATAATGGTTTGAGGTTGGTCGAAAAGGCTTCATTTTTAGGCATTCCATAAATGGTTGGAACAGAAGTGCAGATTTCACCAAACTCCATCCTTCCACATTACACAAGTCGAATGAGGTGGCGAGAGCATCTTTTTCCTTTTTGTTGTGCAAGCACAAGTCGAGAAAAAATATGTTGAAAAGCAGCCTCATATGAGCTCACTTGTCGTTTAGAGACACTAAGAGAATGAGGCAGACGTTTTTGTAGACTGTGATGACTTTTATCGTTCCCTACGGTCAGGTTGTCCGCCGAAAGTTGTGGTACAATAAAAATCTGCCTGACGTCGGCAGTTTCTCTGCAGATCCTTGATTTTCGTGGGTGAAAGCACAAGTACATCGAGTTTTTGCACAGTACTGCCGGGAAAGCTGGATTCTGGACTACGTATCACAATATGAGGCCCGGCAGGATTCCCAGGGGGTGTGCTCCAGTGCGAATTGCGGTTGGCAGGGGATGAAGAGAAAGGCGCGGAAGGACACACTGTCGGCACGAAGCGCAATGAATAGAGAAGAGGGAGAGAGGATCAGACGGGCATTGGAAAAGGACATCGGGTGGATTCCTGAGGTGCACGAGTGGACAAACTCTCGAGCAACGTCGCCCAAGGTTGACTTTTGACTGCAATTAACGACCTGGCTTTTATGTGGCTAGGAGTGGTCACAACAGTACCGTTCTGGGCCAGAACGGCTAAGAGTGGTCACAACCAATGGTGCGCGGATATCCATAAAGCCGAGTATATCAGCGGATAGGACGGATACGGATAACCGTAAATCCCTAACCGTGCTTTGAGACAACACCACGGATTTATCCGCGGTTTACGGATTCGTTATAGATGTATACGGATAATATCCATAATCCGTGCTTTCTAAAACATTATTACGGTTTTCTTTTTAAAATCCGTGTATTATATTTACAACAACTGATATTCAAACCGTATCCTACCATTTCAGGCGGGTGTCCCACGGATTGTAGGGCGGGAATACCTGGTAATCGTATCCAATCTGCTGCTGTATTTATCATATTATTTGTTACAAACAATGCTGTTATAGCACACAGTCAACACGTCGGCGCCGAATGTTTTCGACTGTGGACGTGTGCCGCGCCCTGTCCAACCAGGGCCACTTCCTCTGTCAGCAGAGGCCCAAGTTCGCCGCCCTCCTCCTACCACGAGTGCAGAACAATTCCGCCTGCTAAGACATCGCCCCACCATGCCTCGCCGTTAACCCTATGCTCGATTATTGTGACGAAATTTTATGCCCCTTTCGGGACATAAATCCCTAGCTCCTCCAATTCTGTGAGTTAAGAGACGGGATCATGCTCATTCGACAGGCATTTACTTCCCGGTCACGAGAGTGTAAAGCATGTTCGGTGACGTGGATCCTTTGATGAATGGCGGAATATTAAACTTTTGTTTGTGGACCGCTTCGAACACTGGGTCAAAAGCATCACAAAAAGTATTCAAAGTCGTGCTCTACGTCTTCCTTTCCAATGGCAGTGTCTCATGAACGAACGAACAGTGCTCTCCGGAACAGCACATTTGTAGACAAAATATTGAGCTCTCCGAATTGTAGTGCCCTTCATCACCCAGGGAGTGTACTTAGAAGGTACAACATCAACAATAGTCATCAAACTCATCCTACAATGAAGGAAATTGTTTACGAGTTCTAAGTATCGCGCTGCCTAACACTACGTAAACTACGATCAAATGCCCGTTTCTCACTAGCAGTAGGTCTGCCTCTCTTTAAGGTGTCCTTCGAGTGCCAGTCTACCCAACACGCAGTGCATATAGCCTGCCGACACGCTCGACACCACTGTATTTGCCTTGAGCCCTTTCGCTTAATCTTGATCTTTCCGTCTTTCTCCCTCCGTAGTGACCAGGAACAAAGAACACAATAAGTGGAAGGTCCAGAGACCTTTTTGTGTGCTATTCTTCTGTTCAAGCGTCGGGCCTTGTGCGTCCCAATGTTATACCTTTCTGAAGCGTTTCTAGTAAACAGTGGTTTGATCCTTCCAGACTCGTTATCTCCATTCTCATCAAGAAGACCTCCGTTCTACTTACTATACCTCTCAAACCACTCCCTGGCGAGCTCCCGAGCGAACGAGCCAAATGTAATGCATTGCGTCACTTTGTGACGCAGTGCAGCGTAACCCTGCCCATATGATACTTCAGCATCCTCCAAACCGGGCAAAACTTGAGTTCTCCTTGCCACGTGAAGTCTGTATGCAACTGCAGCATTATTAATCTGCATAGACAGAAGACGTGCTATGATAGAAACCACCGGGTGCTCGCTCATGTTGCTTCTAGCTCGAGTTCTCAAATATCTGGATATCACATCTACTCCACCCTTCAGATTGTTCCAGTATACTGCTGGCGTCAGCCTTATCATCCTGGAGGGTGGAATAGGCTCCCTTCGACGTAGCACTTCTCCTCTTATGGCTTGGCTGAGGCCGTAGTATGATGCAAAGCCGTATAGATCGGACGCGTGTGACGTCTTGAGCATAACATCGTACTCTTTCGGTATGCTTTCCGTGGGTTCTCCAATCCACTGGAAGGCAGCCACTCGGACACAATCCATGGTGAAAGTATAGCAGTGTCTGAATGTCTCCGAGAATGACACCATACAAACGTACAGTATACGACCGTCTGTAATAGAGCCACCTGTTCCGACCACATACATGACCTTGTTGATTGCTAGCGTGGCCGCATGGTGTAGAACCTGGCTTCTATATTGTACAGTAGGCACCAGCGTTCTGAACAATTCAGTAGACTGGGCGTTGACGCCCACGTTTTCCAGAGCAACCACAGAGCCATATATTCCAGCGAGTTCTTTTGCATTCTCAATGGTCCTGATCGACGTCATAGTTTTAACCTCTACTACATAGACGTCATGATCCCCTTCCTCATCCTCGGCAGACAGCAATGCGTCAGGGCTGTCGGCCAACATCGGGCATCGACGGTTCTCTAGAAGTCCTGTGCACCGGACGTGTTTAACCTCGCAGGCAAAGGTTTCATCCCATTGAAAATTGGGTGAGCCTAGTCGACACCTATACGCTCCGCCACAGTTCTTTAGAAACGCCGGTAGTGCCTCAACAATGTTGTTTTCATTGCGAGTTCCTTCTCGCATTCCAGTTGTCGCGACAAGGGGCTTCATCACCCATGCTTCAAGTGGCGCCTCTCGAAGGGCATTGCACACACGCTGCGCAGCAGCATGACTGCGCTGTTCTGCACTGCCGTCGTCATCATTCAGTTCGGAGTCCAGCTCAACTAAATTACTGGCTATGTCGGCCTTCAGCTGGTTCACAGCAGCGACGAGCTCGGACTTCGGGACCCGTAGCTCCAGTCCCCTGTCAAAAGTGGACAACATCTGCTGCAATTCAGCCTTCGTGGTTGATGCAATGCGGGAGGGGGTCATTTCTGCTAGTCGGGTTGCTACTGTGCGGCGTGTTGAAGGATTGGGCCGGTCGGTCAGATTCATACCCAGGACCCAGGCAATTTGGTCCCACTTGTCCATGAGTAGTAACCGCACGTCGCCCTCGTCGTCACTGAGCGCTTGCACGCCTTCGACGATTGTTCTGC